AAATAAAATTAGATGAAATAGACCAATTCCTGAAAAAATACAAACTACCACAACTCACCCAATGAAACAGATAATGTCAATAGCCCTACAACTATCAAGAAGACTGAATAAATAAAAAATTCAATAATTTAAAACTTCCAATACAGAAGTTTCTAGGACTATATTATTTCAGTGGTAATTTCTACCAAATGCTTAAAGAATTTACACAGAGAGACATCAGCAAGATGACAAAATAGGAAGTCCCAACCTTTACTACCCCCAAATAAAAATTTAACTAGAAGCTATATACAGAAAACACATTTGTGCTCCCCAAACTTGGAAAAGCCTCAGACAGATACATAGACCACAGAACCAAATAAAACTGTATTTGAAGGATAAGAGAAATGGTCACACTTTGACCCTATTGCCCCATCCCACACTTCAAAATGACACAAATTCTTTGCCATATGCTAAGAATTTTCCAAGGCCCACAGTTTATACAGTGGAAGAGAATACAAATCAGATATTGAGCAGTTTCTCTGGCATTTCTGTTGTCTTAGTGGGAGGTGGAGAGGTAGCAGAATAGGCAGACTACCTAGGGTTGGGTAAAAGAAAGCAAGGACACAAAGCCCACAGCAAAAAGCTCACAGACCTTACTGGTAACTTTGTGTACCTGCCAGTGGTAGTGCCCAATCTGCACTACTACTACACTTACAGCTTATTCATAAAGGTTAGTTATTAGTTGGTCACTCCCAGAAATGGTAAAAAAAAAAAAAAAAAAAAAAAACCAAAACCTCTACCTGACTCATATTCCTTCATGGCTTGATATCTAGGTCCAGCTTCAGACTCTGCCAAGGCCCCACTCTGGGAGAGAGATATCCACACAACACAATATTACAAAATGCAGGGGCCAGTTCTTCCTTACCCACGAATTTAAACAGCACTCAGTTCAGCCTCAAAACCCACCTCAAGACCACACCTAGGTAGGTAAGCAAACCTTACCTGTGCATTTCTACCAAGCATAGCTGCTCATCTCCTCTATCCTAACATCAAAGGCAGCAGCTCAATAATCTAGAGAACACAAAACCAAGCTCTGCTTGCCTGATTATTAGCAACTGGCCCATTCAGTATTACAAGTTAGACTAAATAGTAAAGGTTGATCTCTGCAAAAAACCAACCAAACGACAACAAAAAAACCCCTATACATGTAAAAACTGAAAAAGATGACTGTCTCCTCAAAGTCACAGATACCAACATAAGAAACAGGACTATGAAAATTCAGGAAATCATAACACCTCATAAGAAACTAAGAAATCTCCATCAATGAACTAAAGAAGTAGAAACCTATTAAATAATGGACAAAGAATTCAGAACAATCCTCCTTAAAAAGTTCAGTGAACTATAAGAATATATGGATAAGAAATCAGATAAAATTTAGAAAATAATAAACAAACAAAATGAGAAATTTGGCAAAGAAATAAAAAGAATTAAAAAAAAAAGAAAAATCCTAGCAATGAAGACTACAATTACTGAACAGAATAGTGCAATAGAAAGCTTTAACAGCAGCTCAATCAAGGTAAAGAATGAATCAGTGAGTTGGAGACAGAACATGTGAAATTCTCCAGTCAAAGGAACTAAAAGAAAAGAATGAAGAAAGCCTACAGGAGCTATGGGACATTATCAAGAGACCTAATGTTCTCATTAAAAAAAAAAGTTACAAAAGCAGAAGAACCAGAGAGCACATTTAAAGAGCTAACAGCCCAAAACTTCCCTTTTCTAGGGGAAAATACCCATATTAAGTAAGTACAGAGATCACCAATTAATTTTAACCCAAAGAGTTCAACAAGACATATAATAGTCAATTACCAAAAACTAAAGACAAAGAAAAAATTCTAAGAGCAGCAAGAGATAAGAAAATACAAAAACACCCCAATATAACAATTGGTAGATTTTGCAGCAGGAATTTTGAAATAAAGGAGATAAGGGGATAATATATTAAAAGTGCTAAAGGAAATAAGCCACCAGCCAAGCACACTTTACCCAGCAAAGCTATCTTTCAGAATTGAGGCAGAAATAAAAACTTTGCCAGGCATATAAATGCTAAGAGAGCTCACCACCACTAGGCCTGCCCCACAGAAATTGCTAAAGGGAGTTCTGTAAGCTGAAACAAACATAAAACTTAAGAAAGCAGAAAACTCAATCATCTACATAATACAGAGCCATATTCAGAATATTCTAGGACTGTAATGGTAGTGTGTAAAGCAATTTTATTCCTAGTACAAGGGTTAAAACAAAACTACTAATAGCTATAGTTAAATTGTCAAGGAATCCTTATTTCAAAATAAGGCAAATTCTGGCATCAAAACATAAAATGTAGGGAGGGGGTGGAGTAGAAGTATAAAGATGAGTACATTCAGAGTTAAGTTGTTATCACCTTGAAATAAACTGATGTATGTGTAAGAGGTTTTATGTAAGCTTCATATCAACCACAAAGCAAAAATCTGTAGTAGACATACGAAACAAAAACAGAATGGACTCAAAACATACCATTGCACAAAATCAAACCACAAACTAAGATGGCAAGAGAGGAAGGGAGAAACAAAATATCTATAAAACAACCAGAAAATGATCAATAACATGGCATGTAGAAATTAATATTACCTAATATTAATATTAAATTTAATCCATTTAGTATAAATGGATTAAATTCTTAAATAAAAAGATAGTGACTGAATAGATTAAAAAAAAAAAAAGCAGGAAGACCCAACTATACAACTATAGGCTGTCTAAAAGAGACTGACCATTTTTAACATTGTTGACTGACAATTTTAGGCAGTGCTATTATTCCATCATTGAATATGAAAGTGAAACAATCTAAATAAACTTCAATAGATTTTGTTCATACATAATGAATTAAAAGGAAACTTTGTAAATATTTTCTATGTATCTTCTAATTTTTTTTGGTATGATGAATTGTGTAGCACTCATCTACCTGTAAGAATACACAATAGGTTTTGCAAATATATCTCATTTTGCTGCACTTTCCTTTAAAAGAGCACACTCTACATTTTCTATTTGGATTTTTTTTTTCTAAAATGTGGCCTTTTATTTGCCCTGAAAGCCTGAAAAAGTAAATTGTTGTAAGGAGCAATTTTAGAAGTACTAGAAGTGCCAGATTCTATGCTGCATTCATTTGAATAAATTATCCATTCCTTAGCTACTTCTAGCAGACCCTGTGTGTATGTCTTTTATAGTTTCGTGTAGCTTTTCCTTTACTGAATAGATCTCCAAGTTACAGATGTAGCCAGTCTCACTTTCACAAAGCATTCTCACTAAAATCCCATATTTTGCTTTTCTTTGCTGAGTTATATGTTCTGAAACTGATACATCATCTATATAGTACTACTGCTTCATCTTGTGATAACTACTGCTTAGGTTTATACAAAGACTGAAATTACAGAATAAAGTAATCCAAAAGAGGCCTGATTTTATAAAGTCTGTCTTCAATAGATGTAGCTTGTGTATTATCTATCACTAAAATGAAAAATTCTAAGGATTTGCTCTAACTTCATTCTGCTCACAGTTTTAGAAAATATTGATGTTTCAAGCAAAGGGTATGCTGACCAATCATCTCTCCAATGTGATTTTTTGTTTGTCTCATCAATATCAATAGACTATAAAGCTTCTTTTTATCACTAGTGGTAACTTCTATCCATGGTAAAGTTTTAGCAGAGGTTTTTTGTTTTGTTTTATTTTGTTTGTAGAGACAGTCTCACTTTTTCACTCTCAGTAGAGTCCTGTGGCATCACACAGCTCACAGCAATCTCCAGTTCCTGGGCTTAGGTGATTCTCCTGCCTCAGCCTCCCAAGTAGCTGCGATTACGGGTGCCTACAACACCCAGCTACTTTTTGTTGCAGTTTGGCCAGGGCCAGGTTTGAACCTACCACCCTCTGTATATGGGACCAGTGCCCTACTCACTGAGCCATAGGCACCGTCCATGTTTTAGCAAAGTTTTTATAAAATTGTTCCATTTGGCAGTGGTATAAATTCGTTTGAGAAGCAACTAAATAAAAAAAATCATTATCAAAAATTAAATCTTTTGCTTCATTTATACTCTGTGGATCATTAAGTTTAACAGTTACACTTGTAATAGCTGTATAAACTTCCAAAGTTGATGTAATATCATTTTCAATCTACTTTCTTCAAAATCACTTTCACTAGCACATTATATTGTATTTCTTTTTTGCTGCTTTGATGGTCTAATATCAGAGTCATAACTATTTTCTGATAAACTATCATTTTCCAGATCACTACAAAGTATTTCAAAATCACTTGGACCATCAGATAAAATATCTGCATGTAATTCATTGGAAAATTCTTGGGTGGCACCTGTGGCTCAAAGGAGTAGGGAACCGGCCCCACATACTGGAGGTGGTGGGTTCAAACACAGCCCCAGCCAAAAACTGCAAAAAAAAAAAAAAAAAAAAAAAATCTTCACCACCACAATCAAGCATGGGTGAAATAAAATTGTCATAATGGACCATAGTTCTGCAAGATGCTACCATCTTGGGAGAAATGAAGTTAAAGGTATGTGAGATCTCTCTATATTGTTATTTATAACTGCATCTCAATCCACAATAATCTCGAAATAAAGAGTTTTTAAAAATGACGATAAAAAACAATTGGCTGTTGGAGATTTTACAAGGTAAAATTAACCATCATCTATCTAAAATAGCTTAATCATTCCTCTTTCTGGAAGCAAAAGGTTAGATGAAGTGACCAAGGGAACTCATCAAGGTTTTTCATAACACCATCACCATAGAATGGTATACTAAGAAATACAGTAAGTTTTTAATAGTCTTGAAAAGAATATAAATGTGTTAAGTTTAATCATAAAGGTAATAGAATGTGACTTTTAAATTACTGAATGAAAATTAAGTTATATCTGCTACCAAGCTACATTTTTAAAATACAGCTTTCTTTTGAAGTTTTTATGAATATGTTACATATCAAGACTTACCTACTCTTTTCTGTCTTAATTCTTTTAACATTCAATTTCCAGGTAACAAATGCTTTATTAATTCTGAAAGGAAAAATACTTCTTATATTTATAAATCACATATTTATATGTAACAAATTTAGTAAAAGTTGGTAATATTAGAATATTCTCCAGAACGTTTCATTCATCCTGAGCTATCTAAAGTAAATAGTAAACAATATAAATTTTCTTTCAAACTATTAATAGAATATAAAACTAAAGATCAAATATAAGTGAAAATCCTTATACTTCTCAGAGATGCAGGATTCATGTAGCTGAGACATTCCAATAAATATTAAAAACCATAAAACATGTTATTTTCTTATATATATTATTGGCTTATTTTGAAAAGAGATTTCTATTTCAAAAAGAGTCAAGATTCAATTTTTTTTTTTTGAGACAGAGTCTCACTATTCACCTTTTGTACAGTGGCGTGGCATCACAGCTCACAGTAACCTCAACCTCTTGAGCTTAAGTTATTCTCTTGCCTCAGCCTCCCAAGTAGCTGGGACTACAGGCACCTGCCACAATGCCTGGCTATTTTTTGTTGCAGTTGTCATTGCTGTTTATTAGACCTGGGCTGGGTTTGAACCCACCAGCCTGGTATATGTGGCTGGTACCCTAACCACTGGACTATGGGTGTTGAGCCAAGATTCAACTTTTATTGATAATAAAAAGCCACATGGATAAAGAAATCTTTGTTAATGATAAGTAAAAATTTAATATATGTCATTCTGATATTATTTAATACTTATGTAAAAAACATGCATCTGTAATTTTAAAAACTCAAAGAACCTACATGAGAAAGAATTGAAAAGTTTCCCTGGTTAGTATTCATCATTTATAATTTTCATTCATGAAATAGAAATGCCAACTGTGTCTATTAATATAAATATCCTTCAACTTCTCTAAATGAATATTATTTCATAGTCTAGTGCCGTATCACAATCCCTCTTTCAGTAGTCTTTGTATTTTTAGGACACCACCCTTAAATAGACATTGAGATGTGATACTTGTTTGCTCAAGTGGGATTCCTTCTGTAGTTGGTAAGAGCCAGTGGGGAGAGGAAAATCATGGGATAGGAACGTGTCCAAGAAGCCAATCAAACAACCAGTCTTAGAGATTACATTGGCTGATCTTGAACCAAAGAAGGCTGAAAGAGGCCTGAAACCATCCAAGCAGTTCAAAGACAATCCCATCATGCATGTCCTTCAAATAACCATAACTTAAAAATTGGAAATGCTTCAAACAAATGTAGTAACTTGACCTTAAACCAGATTCCAAAGAGGCATTACAAATAAGTTCCTATTTCATTTTAACTCAGATCCACAGAATCATAGTACCTCAGGAGTATAGAAGATCCCTGAAAACCCACATGAATCCAGTGATGGTGGAATACGTATCTGTACTAGGCCATATAAACATCTCTGATCATCCTATCTAAGGTAGTAACACACACACACACATACACACCTCTATTTTATTTCTCTGTTTTATTATCTTTATGAACCTTAACACTATCTGAAATTATCTTGTTGATTTACTAGTTTATTATTTATCTCCCTCCAGTAGAGAGTAAGTTCTATACCAACAGAGCTTTTTTAGATATTTTTTTCACAGTTCTATCTCTAGTGCTTCTACCAGTAGAATGAAAGAGGTACATAGCTTTTGTTCAATTAAGTGACTAACTTTACTACCACAAAATTCATGCAGTTCTGTTATGGAGAAGTTTCTTAGGTCCTTGGTTATTTAAACTATTTACCATATTAAATATAACAATTTAAAATATTATTTATCTCTTTTCCTGGTTCCGAGAAGACAAGAATACATCCCAAGAAAAGGCTGACATTAGAGGAGAAATAAGAAAATTATAAAACTAGACACAACACGAAAAGAACAATAGTTTGGGACTATTCTGGTTCTTGGGACCAGAGTCCCAGGAGCCCTGATGTAATGGGTTATGATGTAATGTTATGTACCTTAGAACTAGATACAATTTTAGTGATAAACTTGAATAAACAGGTTCCCCAAGTTTCCTTACTCTGTTTTATTTTCCTAAGACTAGCCCACATCACAAAATCCCAAAACCCGAGATGTTGGTGTGGATGTGGAGAAAAGGAAACACTTCTATACTGCTGGTGGGAATGCAAACTAACATGTTCCTTTTGGAAAGAAGTTTGGAGAACACTTAGAGAATCTAAAAATAGACCTGTCATTTGATCCTACAATTCCTCTACAGGTATATATCCACAAGACCAAAAATCACATTATAACAAAGATATATGTACCAGAATGTTTATTGCAGCACAATTCATAATTGCTAAGTCATGGAAGAAGCCCATGTGCCCATCAACCCATGAATGGATCAATAAATTGTGGTATATGTATACCGTGGAATATTATGCAGCCTTAAAGAAAGATGGAGACTTTACCTCTTACATGTTTACATGGATGGAGCTGGAACATATTCTTCTTAGCAAAGTATCTCAAGAATGGGAGAAAAAGTATCCAATG